ATCGCGCCCGACTCGTCGCCTTAAAAACAAACCTGTTTGTTCTCAGGCGACGAGCCGGTCTATCGACCCGAACCGAACCGACCCGATCCCATGAGCAATGAGCACCCGGTATTATAATAATATCTCCCCAGGCCACGACCAGGAGAACCGCCACCAGGTACAAGGCTACGAGGGCGCCCGTGAGTACGAGATGGAGCTCATCTACAACATCTCCTTCGAGCACGCGGTCAACGTGGTGGATCAGTCAGCATACTGTGAGCAGTACATCAGCTGGGAGTGCAAGGACGCGCTCATCCACAACTTCAACGACAACAACAGAGTCACCACCGGCTGGCTCAACAGGTCGCTACCTCAAAAAATGATTAAATGGTATAGGTTTATCGCTCCTATCAACACTGTTAGGTTATTTAAGAGGCGGGACCTCCCGAGTACAACGTCCATCTCCGAAAGGGCAAAGCCAAAGGCGAAATTCGTGTAAAGTGTTTTTGCCAAGGACATAACGTCGGACCGAGCTGAGGCTCGATTACAAGCACGTAGTTCTTTCTGGCATTTTTGGCCTTGTTGAGTTACTAAGGTCAGAAACCAAACGTTCTATCTGCTCTATCAAAATCATAAGAGTTTTTTTCGGATTCGTTATCAAGATATTCAAAAAACTGCATTCGAAAAAGCTTGACACATTGCGAAACTCAAAGCTTTTTAAGTCAAATTGTTCAAAACTAGGTACTGAGCAGATATAGCGTTGTAATTTTAGGGTAGCAATGTCACATTATTTTTCCCTATTTTTACTTAGGTGTTTTTACGCCCCTATCTATACAATTAAAATCATTTAGGAGGCGGGCCAACTTCCGTCCCTGCCTGTCAGGGCCAATCCGGACTGAGAGGGATACAACATCTCAGCAGAAAGACTGCTATACTCGAACTAGAGAAATTTCTTCTCACTCGAGAATCGTACTCGGGTATCCTGCGTGCGATAGCAAAGCGCTTAATATATCTTTTTAAGAGCCTCTGAGCAAAATAGTATAGAGAACCATGATTGCCCATGTCTGTTGCAGATCTGACACTTGATGATCATGAAATAAAAGCACATTGACGCATTATCGATATCTATTTTAATTTAGTGCAGGGGTAAAGTAAGACAGGCAAACAGATAGACAGACAGACAGAAACATCGGGAAGAAAGAAATAACAATATTAGAGGCTATCAGTGGCACCCTCCAATCACCCTCCTAATAGCTTATTATGTCATTGTCTTATCACTGTTGATTAAATTGTATTATTATACTGTTATATCATCATTATCATATCATTGCTAATTGAATTATATTATCATATTATTATATCACTCTCATTTCATTGTTAATAACATTATATTGTTAAAATCATTGTATCATTATCATATTGTTAATTGAATAATATTATTATATCATTATATCACTATCATA